GGCTGAGCGGCCCCGATCCTGGCTAGCGTACGATGGCGTTACATTAGCCAGTGGGCTCGTACTCCACCAAGGTGAGGGGGGGGGCCCCAGGCTGCCACCGGGCTGTGTATGGGAGGGGGGCATGGGCCTGTACACCCATGGGGGCCCCAGATTTATAGCAACGGGTCCCACGGGCTGTGCAGGGATCCCAGCTTTATCTCGGGCATCGTCTCCGTGCGCCAGATGCTGCGGAGGGGGAGGTGGGGTTGGGAAGAGTCTCCCCGTAGCTGGTTAGGGGAAGATCGACCAGTGGAACTCCCCACCACCAGCTCAGCTCGGCTCAAAGGCCAGGACTGAGTCCGATCTTCCTGTGGTCCTAGGGAGCGCACATCACCGTGGTATCTGGGCAGGTAAATTGGATATCCTCTTCCTGAGGCCTGTAGGCAACCCACGCCCACCCCACTCTAACCACTCGACCCCACTGCCTTCCCGGAGCTGGGAACGGAACCCAGGAGTCCTGACCCCCCTGTCCTCTCCTGCTTTAAGCAGCAGACCCCACTTCTGCCCTCCCCCAAGCTGAAACAGAACCCAGGAGTCCTAACTCCCAGCCCCCGGCTCTAACCACTCAACCCCATTCCCCTCCCTGAGCTAGGAACGGAACCCAGGAGTCCTGGCTCCCATAAAGCTAGCACTGAAGGCTTCCCCTCCTCATTGTCTCATGGGACGAACGCCCTGCGCCGCCCCCCCCCCCCCCCCCGTCATGGAGCATAGGGTGGCGGGATCCCAGCCGGGACGTGTGGCTCGCGCTCTGTGCTGTCCCCAGAGCAGGGGACAGGCTGGGCGTGGGGCTGATAAGAGCGCAGGGCGGGCAGGGAGGCCCTGAGGCCGAGGCCAGGGTTGGAATTATTCAGAGCGTTTCGTGGCTGGGAAGGTGACCTAGGGCTGCTGGCTCTGGGAGAGCAGTGGAGACTGGTGGTTAGAGTGGGGGCCTGGGAGGCAGGACTCCTGGGTTCTCTCCCTGGCTGTGGGAGGAGTGGGGCCTGGTGGGTTAGGGCGGGGGGGGCTAGATGGGACCTGATCCTGATCCCAGGCACAGGGAGGGTCGGGCAGGTATAGGCTGTATTGGTCCGTTGCTCGGCTGGGTCCAGGTCCTGGCGAGGGGTGAGGCGCCGGGGCTGGCCCGGAGGCCTCGCCAACCAGGGGGATGGTGCCATGGGAAGCGATGGCTCTGCCCCAGCCCCGCCAGGGACGGAGCATTCCTGCTTGGCAAGCAAGCAGGGCCTTATATAAAGTTACATCATGAGGTGCTGGGAGCCCCGGGGGAGAGGGCTGTGCTCCTGGGGGCCGGGGCTGCGAGGCCTGGGCCCAGCCATGGGCTGGCAGGCAGGATTGAATCCCGGGTGACCGGATGGATCCAGCCACGGCCTGGTCTCCTCAAGGGACTCGCCCAGGGGTCCCAGAGCTGGGGAGGTGCAAGGTCCCTGTGTCGGGGGGACATGGACCCTGGAGAAGGATCCTGGCCAAGCTGGGATGCCCAGAGCTTCCCTGAGTCCAGAGGGTGGGGTGTGGCTGGGAATCCGGACTCCTGGCTTCTATCCCCAGCTCTGGGAGGGGAATGGGGTCTAGTGGTTAGAGCTGGGGGCCAGGACACCTGGGTTCTGTTCCCAGCTTGGGGAGGGGAGTGGGGTCTAGTGGTTAGAGCAGGGAGCTGGGAGCCAGGACCTCTGGGTTCTGTTCCCGGGGAGGGGAGTGGGGTCTAGTGGTTAGAGTAGGGGGGCTGGGAGCCAGGACTCCTGGGTTCTATCCCCAGCTTTGGGGAGGGGAGTGGGGTCTAGTGGTTAGAGCACAGGTGGTTTGGGAATCAGGACTCCTGTGTGCCTAGGTGGCCTTACACCAGCTGAGGATCTGTCCCCGTGTACTAAAAAAGCCCCTCCTTTGTTAGCAGCAGGCTGGGGAGGGGTTCGCAGGGGGCTTTTTCCCCTTGCTGCCCCCTCTGCACACAGTCAGTTTCACAGCTCTGCTTGTCCCCTGCCAGCCCTGCGCTGTTGCCTTTAGGTCCCCACGCTGGGGTCTCTGTGTGTGGGTTTGACACCCCCTAACACCTCCGCAATCTCACACACACACACACACACGGCAGGGTCCCTGTAGCAGGCATTGGGGTGTCGCTCAGCTGCGGCCGCGTGGGCTCCTAGCTCTGGAGAGGGCTGGTTGGATCCTGGGAGGGCAGTTGCTGTGACAACACACGTCTCCCCTCGCCTGGGATCTGATTCTCCTGTGGCTCGCCCTCCTCGACCTCGGGAGAGTCACTCCGGAGTCAGACCCGGGCTGTGAATAGTTCCTCCTCAAACCTACAGCTGGGGCCTTGGCAAGCGGAGATCCGCCCCATTCCTGATGCGCTCCCTCACCTTCTACAGCTCGGGTGATGTAACACCCCGTGAGAACACCCCGGTTGGCCAATGCGGATGTTGAGTTGCTGCCTTGGCTCTGGTTTAGTGGGTTAGTAGGGCAGAGCCGCTCCGAGGGCCGAGCCTGAGCAGAACACAGCGGTGGGTGGGTGGACTGCACTCAGCTAACCTCCTGAGAGGTACCTGGGGGCACGGATAGGCACCGAGAAGGGACCTGAGGGGGTAGGGAGACAGGTGGACCTGTCACCAGCTCACCCAAAATATGGTGTGTGTTTTTCGAAAGCACCAGCTCCTGGAGTCATGTGACATACGAGGACCTCAGTTTTTGTTTACATTTTGGTAAAGGTATACTGCTGTTTATTAAGTGTAATACGGTGAACGAGGACTCCATGTGCTGGTGCTGCACATTATGTATTAGGTGTATTACGGTAGCACCCTGGACCCCATTGTGCTAGGGATGGATTGATGTGGATGGGGATGAATGGATGGGGATGGGGATGGATAGATGGATGGATGGATAGGGAGGGATGGATGGATATGTATAGGGATGGATGGATAGATGGATGGATGGATGTGTATGGGGATGGATGGATAGATGGATGGATAGGGATGGGGATGGATGGATGGGGATGGATGGATGTGTATGGAGATAGATGGATGGAGGGATGGGGATGGATGAATAGATGGATGGGGATGGGGATGGATGGAGGGATGGGGATGGATGAATAGATGGATGGGGATGGATGGATGGGGATGGATGGATAGATGGATGGATTGGTGTGTATGGGGATGGGGATGGATGTGGATGGGGATGGATGGGGATGGGGATGGATGGATAGATGGATGATGATGGGGTGTGTGGGGAAGGAAGGGTGAATGGACAGACAGACTGACCAAAGTAGCCCAGACAGACTCCCTAGGAGCCGACCTTTGCCGGAGGGCGCTGGTCTCTGCCTTTAGGTAACCCAGTAGCCCAGGGCAATGACACAGAGCTGGGAAGTAGGTCAGCAGCATCCTTCATACCAGCGCATCCAGGCGATGCCCAGACTTGCCCTCACCTGGAGTACACACCCGCCCAGCTCCACGTGCCATGAGGACATGGGGCCAGTGCCTGGGGCGGCTCCTCCCTGGGAGGGGCGGTGGCTTGTTTGGGTGGAAATTCTCTTGCAGCCTTGACCTAGAAAGAGAAGAAAACAGAGTAGATGGTGGGAAGTGCAGGGAGAGACTCCGCAGAGAATGCCATGGTGCAGGCAGCTCAGTAGGGGGTGCTGTGCTGCAGGGAGCAGGACGGGGGGCTCACCGGGGGAGAGGGGGGGCTCGTGGCTAGGGCACCAGACACCTAGGTTCTCTTCCCAGCTCTGTTACTGGCCTGCTGTGTGATCTGGTGTCCCTGCCTCTCTCTGACTCAGTTTCCTCCGCTCCCCTGTGTCTATGTAGATTGTAAACGCCGTGGGGCAGGGACTCTCTGGCGCTCTTTATGCAGCAGCTAGCGCCGTGGGGCCCTGCTCCGTGACTTGGTGCTACCATAATACACCTAATAAATGACAAGTAAAGGAGGGAGGAGTATCCCCCCATTTACAGATGGGCAAACTGAGGCCCAGAGCGATTTAAGGGGCAGCAGGCTGGATGGTGGAACCTGGCGGCTCGGTGAGGGGCAGACGCTTTTGCAAACTGGGCCCTAAATAGGCTCTTAAAAATCTGGCCCCGGTCTTCCAAGGGCATGAGATATCTAACTCCCATTGGTCCCAAAAATGCCTAAACCCCTTTGGTGATCTCAGGCCTCGCCCCAGATCTCTCAGGACACAGCTTCCACCCCCCGTTTCTCTCCCCTCCTGGCACAGCTCCTGCTTAGATCTTCTCTCCGGGCGGCATCGGATCCCAGCAGCACGGAGCTAAGCCGCCCAGGCCCCTTTGCTGCTTCCAATCCCCCCCTCTCCTCCCTGCCCCATAGCCCCGTAGCCCCATTGTTCCTCTGGCTTTCGCACAGAACCTCTTTCTAGGCTAGTAGGTTGCTGGCGCTGCGCCCGGGCCTTAGCAGCAGCGTTGTGCAATATGCCAGCAGCGGACCTGTTTTGACTGCCTGGGCTGATAAATATTCAATGTTTACTGACCTATATTCCTAGTGCTCACATCTGCCGGCCCAGCGCGCGCGGGCGGGAGGGGGCGTCCAGGCCGAGCGTGCAGCTCCGCACACGCTCCCTGGCTCGACGCGAGGGCGTGGAAACAGTCCTCCCCGGGACTGGGTCAGTTGCACAACGGGCTCTTGTGACCCACTGGGCGTCCTGCCTTATGCAACCCACCTCCCCGCTCCAGCCCCACTGGCCTCCTTCCGGGAAAGAGCCAGGCCGGGGGAGGAAGGAGAGTGGGAAGCCGTCTCTCTCTTTTCGTCTGGCTTTCTGCGCTCCCCTCTGCCCAGGGTGGACGCGCCCAGGCCGATTGCCCTGCCACTGCCCGTACGTGCCACACTACAGCCGCCCTGACAGTCAAAGCAGGGGCGCTGGCAAGGTGGGGGTGTGGTGTGTGTGTGTTGCACTGGGTGATGTTGTGTGCATGGGGTACCGTGGTGGGGGTGCGTGGTGGGGGTGCCGTGTCTGATGGTTGGTGGGTACTGTGGTGCTAGCTGTATGGTGTGTATTGTGTAGTGTGTGTGTTGGGCTGTGTGTGGTGTCTGGGGGGGCAAGGTGTAATTGTGTTGTGCAGTGTGTGATGCGTGCATGGTGTGCAATGTGTGTGTGTGTGATGTCTCTGGGGTGTGTGTAATGGTAAGTGTGCAGTCTGTAGTGTGGGTGTGTGGTGCTGTGTGTAGTTGTATAGTGTGTGCCGTGTGTATGGTACAGTGTGGGTGTTGGGCAGTGTTTGTGTCAGGTCTGTGTGGGGCACAGTGTGTAATTGTGTAGTGTGCAGTGTTTGGTGTGTGTGTGTGCAGTATAGTGTCAGCTGTGTGATATGTACACGGTGTTCAGTGTGTATTGTGCAGTGTCTGGGGTGCAGTGTGTAATTGTGTAGAGTGCAGTGTGTGCGTGCATGGTGTATGTGTGCAGCGTGTGATGTGTGTGTGGTGTGCAGTGTGTAGTGTGTGTGCACGCAATGCACTGTGTGTAGCTGTGTGGTGTGCGGTGTGTGCTGGTGTGGTGTGTAGTGTCTGTAGTATGTGTGTGTGTGTGGTGTGCACTGTGTGTGTATGCAGTGTGTAGTGTGTGTGCATGGTGTATAGTGTGTGTCTACACACACACACACTATACACCATGCACAAACACTGCATACACACACAGTGCACACCACACACACACACTACACACTGCAAACACATAGTGCACACCACACACACACACTACAGACTACGGTGTGTAGCTGTGTGGTGAGGTGTGCAGTATGTGTGTGTGTGGTGTGCAAAGTGTAGCTGTGTGGTGTGCAGTGTGTGTGTGGTGTGCAGTGTGTGTGTGGTGTGTAGTGTGTGTGCACGGTGTGTAGCTGTGTGGTGTGTAATGTGTGTGCACGCGGTGTATAGTGTGTGCACGGTGTGTAGTGTGTGTGTACGTGGTGTGTAGCTGTGTAGTGTGTGTGTTTGTGTGTTGTGTGTGCGCGTGGTGCTTAGTGTGTATCTGTGTGGTGTGTGGTGGTTGTTGGTGCAGTGTGTAGCTGTGTGGTGTGCGGTGTAGTGTGTATGTGTAGTGTGTGTGCATGGTTCGCAGTGTGTAATGTGTGTGTGGTGTCTGTAGCTGTGTGGTGTGTGCCTGGTGCACGGTGTGTAGTGTGTGTGTGGTGTCTATAGCTGTGTGGTGTGTGTGTGCCTGGTGCGCGGTGTGTAGTGTGTGTTTGGTGTCTGTTGCTATGTGGTGTCTATAGCTGTGTGGTGTGTGTGTGCCTGGTACGCGGTGTGTAGTGTGTGTGTGTGGTGTCTAAAGCTGTGTGGTGTGTGCCTGGTGCGCGGTGTCTGTAGCTGTGTGGTGTCTGTAACTGTGTGGTGTGTGCATGGTGCGCTGTGTGTAGCCGGGGCAGCCCGGGTACCCGGCAGGCCGTGGCACACGCGTCGCCGTAGTGGGGCGGAATGTGGGGCGTGCTGCCCGCTGGGCCCGAGGCCTCTCCCGCCCTGCCCAGACCTGCTCGCCTGTGGCTTATGTAAGCGGCAGAGAGGGGTGTGACGTGCTGGGCCCCGGTCCAACCGCCCTCCGTGTCCTTCCTCCTAGGTGTTCCCTCCTCCTCCTCCCGGACCTGACACGGCTCCCGCCCCCCGCCCGCCTCACATCCCGCAGCGCCCGCAGCCCAGCCGCGTCTCCGCAGCCAGCCTCCCGGAGCGGGACACGGGCACCAGAGCTTCCCGGCGCGCCCGGCAGGCACGGAACGGACCCAGCCGAGCCTGAGCTGCCCGCCGGAATCCCACAGCTCCTAGCGGAACGGCAGCTCCTCCAGGCGCCCGGAAGATGATCCACAGGTGCCCAATGTACCCGCCGGCGCCCGAGGGTGCCCATCGTGGCTTGTTGGTCGCAGCTGGAGGGCCACTCACGGCAGTAGCTTGCCCGGTTACCCCGCTTGTTAACTGCTTGGGCTGAGGAGCTAGCGAGAATTGTCCGTTCCAGTGGCAGAGATCCGGGGGGCATTATCCCTGTAGCAGAGATCTAGGGCGCAGTGTCCCGGTGGCAGACGTCTGTGGACCCATAGCCCCGTGGCAGAGATCTGGGGTGTGCCATCCCCGTGGCAGAGATCTGGGGCACGTTATCCCCGTGGCAGAGACCCACGGGTGAGTTCTTGAGCCATCTCTAACCTCAACGTCCCGACCCTTCCCCGGCGACCGTCCTGGGCTCTCTGAGGCCACCGAAGGAATATCGAGGGTCAGAGCCGGGGTGACCTGGGTTCTATTGCTGGCCCCGTGATGGAGGGTCTCAGCTCGCCTGGCCAGTGCGTGGCAGGGGGGCCCCCCCCGGAGGGCGTGATGCAGCGGGCCCGGGTGCTGAAGGGCAAAGCCAGCGCCAGCTGCCGGCGCAAGCGGGAGTTCATCTCGGACGAGAAGAAGGACGCCAGCTACTGGGAGAAGCGCCGGAAGAACAACGAGGCGGCCAAGCGCTCGCGGGAGAAGCGGCGCTTCAACGACCTGGTGCTGGAGAGCCGGGTGCTGGCGCTCAACGAGGAGAACCTGCGCCTCAAGACGGAGCTGCTCCAGCTCAAACTGCGCTTCGGGCTCATCAGCACCGCCGCCTTCGTGGAGAAGAGCCAGCATCTCAGCGCCGCCAGCAGCGGCTACTCCAGCGCCTCCTCCCGGGCCCAGCACTCGGAGGACTCGTCCGAGACGGAGCAGTCCGGCCGGGATGCCGCTGGGGCCAAATACTCGCCGCGGGGCTCCCTCTCCGACATGTCTGACGTCTCCTCCCGGGACAGCCCGCTGCCGCGGACGCCGGGGGAGGCGGAGGCCGTGAGCAGGGCCCGGGGGGACGACGTGGCGCTGCGTCCCCCCGACCCCCAGGCCCCGGCCTCCCGGGGCGTCATCCTCTTCAGCGCCAACGGCTTCACCACGGTGGAGCCGCCCCGAGCCTGGGAGGCGCCGGGGCGCGGGGACGGGGCGGAGGACGAAGAAGAGGAGAAGGCCCTGGGGAGCTATGCCCAGCAGATTCCCGGCGGTCGCCATGGCGACTGTGAGGCCTATTGCCAGCAGGGGGAGCTGCAGGGCCCCCCCGAGGCATATGGCTGCCCACGGGCTGAGGGCTACGGCGCCCCTGCTGGCTTCCTTGGGGAGGAGGAGGCGCGGGAGGCCAGGCCGGAGCCCATGGAGATGGCGGTCGAGCCGAGTTCCCCCTTCGCGGGTTACTCCAGCGAGGAGAGTGGGGAGGAGCCCGGCTGGGGGTGCCCGCCTGCCCCCTACCCGCCCTCCCCGGACGTCAAGCTGGCCGCCCTGCCCCACAAGCTGCGCCTCAAGTGCCGGGCCCACAGCAGCGGTGGCCAGGACCTGGGCCCTGAGCCTGGCACCACCGGCTGCCAGCAGGAGGCGCCCGCCGACTGGGAGAGCGAGAGGCACGAGGAGATGGCGGCCCTGGTGCGGCAGGCGCTACTCCTCAACGGGCACCCCCCCGCCACCGGCGCCCTGGACAGACTCCTCTACTGCAGCCCCCCACCCCCCTCAGACAGGCCGGAGCCTGGGGACTTCGCCGGCGGGTGGAGGGGCAGTTGCCACAATGAGGGCGCCAGGCCCATATGAGTGGTGCCCCCGAGCGGGGCACGGACCTTGAACAGCTGCTGCCTGGGCAGGTGACGTGGACAAAGCCAACACTGACTGTCCTGCTGGGCCCGGGGATCTGCCCGGCTGGGATCCAGTGAGCAGAGAGATCCCTGTTCTGCTGGGCCCGGGGATCTGCCCGGCTGGGATCCAGTGAGCAGAGAGATCCCTGTCCTGCAGGGCCTGGGGATCTGCCCAGCTGGGATCCCGTGAGCAGAGAGATCCCTGTCCTGCTGGGCCCGGGGAACTGCCCGGCTGGTATCGGGTGAGCAGAGATCCCTGTCCTGCTGGGTCTGGAGATCTTCCCAGCTGGGATCTCGTGAGCAGAGAGATCCCTGCCCTGCTCGGCCCGGGGATCTTCCCAGCTGGGATCTGGTGAGCAGAGAGATCCCTGCCCTGCTCGGCCCAGGGATCTGCCTGGCTGGCATCGCGTGAGCAGAGAGATCCCCGTGCTGCTGGGCCTGGGGATCTGCCTGTCTGGGATCTGGTGAGCAGAGAGATCCCTGTCCTGTTGGGCCTGACGATCTGCCCAGCTGGGTTCTGATGAGCAACAAGATCCCCGTCCTGCTGGGCCTGGGGATCCGGAGAGCAGCAGGTTCAGCTTGGCTGAGCTCACAGATCTGGGAGCCGTCGGACGGTTCCCACCAAGCCAACATCTGAGCCCCACGTGCTGGGTGGGGCTGGCTTTGCAGGGAGAGAACCAAGCGGGGTCTCCCCATCCCCCCACCCCCTTTGGCTTTGGAGCCCCCTGGATGGTGACAGCGGGGTGCAGCCAGGGCCTGGGACCAGCAGCCTCCTTCATGCTGGGACTGTCTCAGCAGCGGCGCCGCCAGCCAGCCGCGTTGATGCCACTGGGACTCGTGGGGGGTGGGGGTGGGGGGGATTTTCTGAGTCAGGAAATATTTGATAAAAATAAAACTGTATCTTTAAAAAAAATCCAAATAAATGTCCCAAAAGGATTTTCCAAAGCGCTGTGGAGCCGCTGTGGGGGGAGGGTGTGGAATGAGAGAAGGAAAGAAAGTTGGATGGATGGATGGATGTGTATGGAGGGAGGAAAATAGATAGATGGAGGGGTGGCGATAGATAGCGGGGGTGTATGGTAGGGTGACCAGACAGCAAATGTGAAAAATCGGGATGGGAGGGGAGGTAATATAAGAAAAAGACCCCAAAATCGGGACTGTCCCTATAAACTCGGGACATCTGGTCACCCTAGTGTATGGGGCTAGATAGAGGGGGTGACTGTATGGGGCTAGATAGAGGGGGTGTACGGGGATGGATGGGTGGATAGATGTTAGATATGTCAGGGAATGGACGGGTGGATGGATAAGTAGGTGTGTACAGCATTGGATGGATAGATTGGAGGGGTGCATGGGGATAGAGGGACGTGTATGGGGATGGCTGGATGGGTGTGTGGGGGCATGGATGGATGGTTACATAGGGGAGGAGTGGTACAGGGTGCACACCCTTGGCTGCTGGAGGGGTTGGGGTGGAGCCAGGAGGGGGTGCTGTGCTAGCAGGTGGCGGCTGGTCCGTACGAGGTGGGTCTCGGACCCCATGCCTCCCCGTGTTTTCAGAAGAGGGGGTCTGGGCCTGTGGTTTTTGCTTCCCATCCCCTTTTGGGGGCTTAGATCCACGGTGGCCCCCATGTTAAGAACCCAGGGGCTCTGCAGCCTGAACCCCTGCTGACAGGAAGAGGGGGTTAGAGCGACTGTACCTTGGGGTATACCCCAATAGCCCCCCAATGCCCCCCAATACCCAGGGGACAGCATGGAGCCGTGCCCTGGGACTCAGACACCCACCGCAGCGGAAAGGGTGTCACCAGGAGACAGGGGAGGGGAAGCAGGGCAGTGCTGCCTAATGATCTGAGTGCAGCCCAAAGAGCCAGGACTCCTGGGTTCTATCCCTGGCTCAGTAGAACCCAGGAGTCCTGGCTCCCAGCTCCCGCTTCTGCTCTAACCACTAGACCCCCGCTCCCCTCCCAGAGCCAGGACTCCTCCCGTGGCAGGCTCAGCAGGCGGCGGAGACGGGGTGCTGGCAGGGGGCACTGTGTGGTGTGTTGGGGGGCATCTCTCCCTGGCGCTGCTCCCCCGGTACTGAGGTTACTATCTGGGCCAGCACCGGGCCTGGCTGGCATCTCAGCGTTAGTAGGTCAGGCAGCTAAAGTAGGGCAGCGCCAGCACCCCGAGGGCACTCGCGTCAGCAGCCATAATTGACAGCGCGGGGGAGGGAGCGTCCGGTGCAGGCCACGGGGGTTGGGAGGTGGGGAGCGCCTGTGTGGGTCAAGGGAGCATCCCAACTCTGGAGGGGAAGGAGGGGTGGTGAGGCCCTGGGGATAGACAGAGGGGTACGTCCCACACAGCATACACAAAGTATCACACAGACACACAAAATACAGACAACACAACACACAGACCCAACAACCCACTACTCACAACAGCGCAGAGACAAAACACCATGTACACACACACAAACCAACACGCAAACGCACCAAACACTAGGCACACTCATGCAAAACAGTACTGACAAATACACAACACAAAGGCACAACAACACACACACAAAACAACACACTGTATGCAAAATACAGACACCCCCCCACAGACAAAATAACACATTCTGCAAACAACACACATGCTCATGAAAAAAATACATGCCGACACACAAAATAATTCAAACACACACACAGCACAGACAAAAACAATGCACATGAAACACATTCATGTGAAACAACACACGCAGATGCATACACACACACACACGTATATGCATGCAGTGCGCACAACATAACACACAACCCCCCCTCCCACGACACACAGACAAAGCAACAACAGAGCGCAACACAGACACACAGCACCCATATGCCCTCTGCAGTTCTTGGAGGAGGTGGGTGTGCTGGGGGACGGAGACAGCCGTGGGGAACCCCCCGCCCCAAACACAGGGACATCGTGCCCCAAATCCTGCTCACTCTGGGAGGTCAGCTAGGGAGCGGGGAGGGGGGGACCCCAATCCCACTGGACTGAGTGTAGGGGAGAGGGCCAGGCCAGGGCCCAGTCCGGGCCTGGGGCCCTGCCCCACACACATAAGAACTTGTGTGTGGGGCAGGCGGGGGCAGCCCAAGGGGTCCAGGAGATAAGTGCTCCCCTCCCAGAGCTGGGGATAGAACCCAGGAGTCCTCCTCCTAGACCCCCCCCCCCCCCAGAGAACACAGACAGGCTCGGAGCTGTCTGTCCCCCCACATTGCTCCTGTAAGAGCCGAGTTCCCCCCGCCACCCTCCAAGTCAGGGCAAGATAATCCCCGATTAACATGGGCAGGAAGAAAGCACCAGCGAAAGTAGGTCATGAGCTGCCCCCCCTCCC